TTTGCCAAAGCTTTGAGTGATCTAGGGGTGAGTATTAATTTGATACCATTGTTAATCTATAATAAATGGGGTTTAGGGGAGATCAAGCCCACCGCTGTAGATAGAACTTTCACATATCCTAGATGCATAGTGGAAGATGTGTTTGTCAGAGTGGATAAATTCACTTTTTCAATTGATTTTATAGTTCTTGATATGGAGGAAGATAGAAAGGTTCCTATTATCCTTGGGAGACCTTTCTTATGCATAACTAGAGCACTCATTGATGTTGAAAAGGGAGAACTTACCTTGAGAGTACAAGATCAAGAGGTAACTTTTAATATCTTTCGTGCTCTAAGGTTCACTAATGATCATGGTGAGTGTTTTGCAATTAGTGTGGTAGATAGGGCCACAAATAAAGTCATCATAGAAAATCATCTTGTTGATTTTGTTTTGCCTCTTATTGGGAGAAAGAGGATCAAACAGTTCTCAATCATGGTCTTTACGGATCAAATCATCCATGTAATATACAAAAAGAAACTCCAGATATTTGATATCTTTCTCTTTGAATGAGATCTCAATTCTAGTGACAGTTTCATTAGATATCTTACAACTAGAAGCAACATTGATTTTTGAATCTAAGCCCAATAATGAAAAAGTTATAGAATGTGTTAATACATTGAATACCCCATCTTAGGTAATGGAAACTTTGTTTGAATTGTTAGACTTGCTTTCATCTTCATCCTTAATAGTGGAACCTTAAATTGAGGATTTTTCTAAGTTAAAACTCAAATCATTGCCAAAACATTTGAGGTATGCATATCTTGGAAACTCATTTACTCATCTATTTATTGTTGCATCTGATCCTAATAATAAGTAGGAAGAAAAGTTACATAGAGTTTTGAGATAGCATAAAAAGGCACTAGGGTGGTCAATAGTTGATATCAAGGGATAAGTCTTTCAATATGCATGCACAAAATTTTGTTAAAGGATAATTATAAAGCCACTATTGAGCATCAGAGGAGATTGAATCCAATTATGAAAGAAGTAGTTAAGAAGGAAATAATCAAGTGGCTAGATGTAGGCATCATTTATCCAATTTTAGATAGTGAAGAGGTAAGCTCGATGCAATGCGTACCAAAGAAAGGTGGAATAACATTAGTGGTTAACGAAAACAATGAGCTCATTCCCACACGGACAATCATTGGATGAAAAGTATGAATAGACTACAGAAGCTAAACAAAGCCTCAAGGAAATATCATTTTCCTTTACCTTTCATTGACTAAATGTTGGATAGGTTAGCTAGATGAGAGTAATATTGTTTCTTTGATGGATACTCAGGCTATAATCAGATTGCCATAGGTCTAGAAGATTAGGAGAAAACAACCTTTTCCTGTCTCTATGGTACTTTTGCATGTAGATGGATGCCATTTGGATTGTGTAATGCTCTAACCACATTTAAATGGTATATGATGTCTATCTTCTTGGATATGGTGGAGAAAATCATAGAGGTATTTATAGATGATTTCTCAATCTTTGGTAATAATTTTTATGAATGTTTACTCAATGTTGATAGGGTATTGCAAAGATGTGAGGGGACAAACTTAGTTTTAATTTGGGAAAAATGCCATTTTATGCTACAAGAAGGCATTATTCTTGGTCATAAAGTGTCGAGCAAAGGATTGGAGGTGGACAAAACCAAGATTGAGACCATTGAGAAACTTCCACCACTAACCCTGATAAAAGGTATTCAAAGTTTCCTTGGGCATGCTAGTTTCTATCAGTGGTTCATTAAGGATTTTTTTCAAAATTGTTAGACCTTTGTGCAATCTTTTAGAAAAAGACATCCCATTTAAATTTGATGATGCATGTCATGCTTCATTTATAAAACTAAAAAAGAAGTTGACATCAACACCCATTAGTGTAGTTCCTGATTGATCACTCCTATTTGAACTTATATGTGATGCTAGTGATCATGCTATAGGTGTAGTTTTATGACATAGAAAGATACAAAGTGAAAGAAGGCAGAATAAATGGGATTTGGGGGAAGGGAAAAGAAGAAGAGGGAGGATTAATGAGGCCTATTATTGAAATTTCACTTGCTTAGATTTTTTGATCAGTTTAGGTGGAAAGGCAATGCTTCGATGATTGAACCACGGTGTCCCCAAAACCGGTGATCACAACCAACACTAAAAAACCAATCCAATTGTGGCCATCGACATCGGTTCCAGTTGGTTGCAATGAATTGATTGCTTGGCCTTAATTTTGACTAACAATAATTAATCAATCATTAATTATAAAAATTTATTTAGTTTAAAATAAAAAAATAAGAGTGTGATTAAATGCAATAAAAAAATAAAAGCTTATTTGAATTGTTCTCAATAATTTAGGGATTTTCTTAAGTATTATGCCATTAGATAATTACTAAGGAGGTGATTTATTATGGAGTTATATGCTACCATTAGATTATACTTTATCCATCATGTTAATGTAAATATTTTTTTTTCTTATTATTCTTTTTTTTATCTTCTAGTGTATCAATATATTTTTCACTTTAATTTAAAATTTTAAATTCAAACTCACACTTCCAAGTGTTCTTTATACTTTTAATACAAGATTAAGAAAATAGCTACTACACATAAAGCATCTTAAAGCACAAGTGGTGAACTAGAGGATCGCACATATTTTTAGAGAAGCTAATATGGATGTTGATCAATTGGCAAGGATTTATTGCAAATTTTTAATTCGAGTGTGGTCAGAAATTGAGTAATATGATGAAAATTGATATTTAACCTACAAAACTTGATATCCCTAATTTTTGTTCCTTAGTTATTTGGGTTACTTGTTTTTTGTACTTTCAATAAGCCGACTTACGTTTTAAGCGTTTATTTAATTAATAAAATTTTTATATATTTTTTAGAAAAAAGTGCTCTTTATACTTAATTTTAATATCATTATAAAAAAAAAGAGAGAAAATTTTACTACTAAAAGAAATGGTGACATTAGCTTGCTCTTGATGATTGCCATGTGCTTAACCAGTCCATGTTATTAAATAGTACCAGTGGCATATTTACAAAACATAATTTGAGGAATGAAAATCTCATTTTATATTTGTTAGCTTTATTAACTTTAAAATGATTATAGTTTTAAAATGACGAAAATAATAAAAATGACTTGAATTATCTTTGAATTTGTTTGAATGATTTTTGAAGTTGTTTGAATAAGTTTTGAACTTAAGTTGTTTATGTTAAAAACTCCTATACATTTACTTTTAAAGTGCTTAAGTGTTTTCATGTAAAAACGAATTTAAAATATTTATAAAAAATAAGCTACATGGGCAAACCCCTCATTTATTAAAGGTTGACCCCCATTCAAAGAATGTGCGAAATTCCCCCCCCCCCCCACCCTCTCCCATTTCCCTTTTCTTCCCCACCATATAGGGTTGATCGTTAGAGTTTAAAACCAGCCGCTAGATATGAAATTCAAAAGTAAAATGACTAATTTCTTCACCAAACATTTTCTAACGATTTCAAAACGTTTCCAATTATAAAAAAGATTTCTTCAACACATTTTCTAGGTTCAAAGAATTGAGAAAAATATCAAACCATCAACGAATCAAATGTTATGAAGAAAATATTAAACCAAGTTAGAGCAAGTTATTCACATTCTTCCACCAAGCTTTTAAGTTATCTTTGTGCCATAATTTCTGTCTGCTTTCATGCCTATCATTTGTATTCATCTTTATCACTGTCATACTTTTCCATACTTGTACTTATCTAGCAAAACTCACTTTTTAGAGGTTTATTTGCTTCAATCTTGTAAAAAGGAAGGATTATATCTTAGCCTTCAAAAAGTAATGTTTGAAGGTTGCACTTGAGTCTTGAAAAGTATAGAAGTTATACCTTAACCTTCAAAAAGTAGTGATTAAGGCTCTGTTTGAACATTTAAAAGGTATTGTATTAAATTTATTCCATATTAGCATCCGAGCATTTGGCTGATTAGTTAGTGCATTATCCCTCTGCCTAAAGAGTAGGGTTCGAATCCCCCTTCTCTAATTATTAAAAAAAAATTATTCTATATTATATTAAACTCCTTAACTTGTTCAAGTAAAGGAGGTAAGCACTAAGAAAGGGCCAAACCTTTATAAATTCTTTATGCATTTTCTCTTTACTCTTCTTGTGCATTTTACTTTACTTTGAAGAGATTTGAAAATTTGTTCTTAACTTGTTTATTTTTTAATTTACTCTTCAAATTACTTTTAACACACTTTGATGGGAAAATAAGTTTGAGAAAATTATTTTTAACTTGCCTTCATTGGAAATTTAATTTTGAGATAAGAAATTTTATAAATCCAATTCACTGTCTTCTTGAATATTTCTATATTATTATTGAGTTAACATTTCTAATAATATTCAAAGGATAATATCTAAATTAGCCCTTCAATATTATGAAAATTGGAAATAAGTTCGCATCTTTAATTGGATAAAATTAAGGCTATATATCCATTAAATCTAAAAATTGAGGAATCATGTCCAATTTAGCAAACAAAAAGAGCACATCCTCCTCAATCGTTGCATTATAATTAATCAATCACAATCATGAATTATGCAAGATGGATGAAACAAACCCACTCTTGTAAGATGCATTATTATATAATTTTTTATTGTGATTAGATAATTTCAAAATATTGTATTGGGTTTTGCGGTTCTTGACATTCAATCTCCCTAATTTGGATGTCTTTATGATTTGGGGTTGTATTTACTTTTTATGTCTTGTTAATTTTTCTTATGTACTCATAAAGTTCAAGTCAATTTGACTTGACATAAAGTTCAATCTAATTAATATTATTTCTAATATCCAAATCATAAACTAAAAATCAAATATATTTTTATATTCTAAATTTCAACTACGATAAATCTTTGGTAAGTATAATTTATTATATGGGAAATTTAACATTAATATCTTACAACTAGGATAGAGAGCCTGTTTCCATTTTTTTTATAAAGTTTCAAGGTTCTTTTGATATTATCCGTAAACCACAGAATGCTTGTGGTCTCTGAATTTACTTTACTACCCATTATCAGCGATGGCAGTGAGGTTACTGATACTGAAACCTCTTCTTTCGGGTTCCATCTTGGGTCAGTGCTGCCGCGCTCGACGACCTCTTTTGCCCCAAGCCTTCTCCAGGAAACCACAATTCAAAGTGTCTGCAGCAAAAATGGCATCCACTGAAGCAGAAACCAATCGAAATTCTTCTAAAGCCAAGGCCATCGATTCACATTTGCACATATGGGCATCTCCTCAAGAGGTAAACTCAGTTCTCTTCCGTCCCGCATTAGGCAGTTTTGATTTGCACATAGTGGTACTAAAAGTTGTTGTTCTGGGTTCAAAAAACTAATTTTAGATGATGGCTAACTATAAGAAAGAACGCCTTTCTTTGTGTACAGGCTGCTGATATGTATCCTTTCTTTCCTGGGCAAGAACCCTCGTTGCCTGGACATTTAGACTTCTTGCTCCAGGTATCAGCCTCTATGGTTTTGGTCACTAGTTATTTCTTTTCCGGGCAACAACCCGCTGATAAAATATCCTTCATTCTTTTCTCCCTGCAGTGTATGGAAGAAGCCAGTGTGGATGGTGCACTCATTGTCCAGCCCATAAATCACAAGTTTGATCATTCACTGGTCACGAGGTCTGCTGAGAAATGACAATAAATACGCATTTACTTATTTATGATAATTGCTGTTAATGTTTTATTCACCCTGCTTTTACGTGTTGTGAAGCTATAAAGCCACATGAAAGTAGTGGTTGAAATAAATAAAAACAAAAGAGTGCTGGACATGAGTTATGCAACTATTATAGGTGACAATAGCTGCATTGATAAATTAGTGCTTGACCTCTTGGAGGCGTTGCTTATATGTTACAACTAGAAATTCGCTAGGACAGAAGGTTGAAGACTGATGATTGAGAATTTAGCATTTGGTTACTCTTTTGAGCCATGTTCCTTTTAAGAACTAGCCCTTAGATCATAGAAGAATGATCCAATTGTCATCAAAGGTTCACATATTTGACAATATTTTCATACTACCTAATTGCTTACACAAATCGGGAAAGCATTGCCTAATACCAACATTATCATTGGATAGTGTCCTAAAGAAACACCCCACCAAATTTGTCGGTTGCTGCCTTGCAAATCCTGCAGAAGATGGAACTGGGGTTAAGCAGCTTGAAGATCTCATTTTGAAGGTTTTGATTATTTTTTGTTATCAGATAACTCCTATTCTTGCGATATTTTCTTAGAATTTAATTTTTCATGCCAGGATGGTTATGGTGCTGTTCGCTTTAATCCATATCTATGGCCTTCTGGCCAACAGGTATTAATCTTGATATGGATCTTTTACTTCTATTAGGCAAGGTGTTGTCTCTGTATTAATCCACATGATGATCCTCAACACTTGATCCATATATCCGGTTTTAATTGGAGTAACTGTCTCTGCATCTAAGATGGAGCCAGGATGTCTTGTTCTAGCCTTGTCCATTTACATTAAATTGATAAGCATGATTGTCGTTCCTGTGGCCAATTAATTGATTGAAGAAACTGAGTCTAGATGTTTGATTTTAGTTAATTTATTCAAACTCTAAAAGTTATTTTACAACAAGCATGACGCTATACAAATACTAATGCGAACCAAAATGAATAAATCAGTTATATCACGCAAACAATAATGATGCAACCGGAAACAAGTGGTAAAGTTTATGAGTGACTTTCATCTTTAAAATATTCTAAAGTGCTTGACTTGATGACTTAGATATGGAGATGGGTATGAGGTCTTTTTAATCTTTTTCTTGAAATGCAAATGTTTTTCTGACTTTCTTTTACCTTTTCTTTTTTTGCTCAAGAATAATTTCCATTACAATATTAATGATCATCGGGTAAAAAGTCTATTTCTGAATTCGTTACCTATGTACATTAAACTCTTTTTAGGAAACTTTACTCATTATACTCATTAAAATCTGTTCTGGAGTATCAGTTTCTTTCTATTCTTGTATATAGAGTTTTGACAATTCATTCAAGAAAAAGATTTCTTAGGTAGTGGCAAAACCCTAAAATATATGTTCAATGGCGGTTACTCTTGGAGAGGAAATTTCTTAGGAAGACTGGCCATATGAAAGAAATATCCTATCATAAAGTATAGATGTAAACTTCATATATGAATCACATATTTCTTCAACGTATTCATATCAAGTGGTGGGTTGTTATTTTGTTATTTCTTTGATATGCAGTATAGGAGGGAAAGGACTAACATTTACTATTATCCTTGTTAAATATCATGCTTAATTCTAACCCAGATGACAAATGAAGTTGGAAAGGCAATGTTTTGTAGAGCAGGAAAGCTTGGGGTGCCTGTGGGTTTCATGTGCATGAAGGTATTGCAGTTCTCCCCTACATGATCTTTTCTTTCTGAAAGGAGGACTATTCTACATTGTTATTATTACTAATTAATAATTCCATAATCTACTTTATTACAGTGGCAAAAGTGCTATTCTGAAGTCTGAATCTATGATTCGCTGATTGGGATGACATCATCTTCATGAAATGAACTTTTTCAGGGTCTGAATCTTCATATTAAAGAGATTAAGGAACTATGCATGGAGTTTCCTTCAACGGTTGTATTGCTTGATCATTTGGCTTTCTGCAAACCACCAACGTAGGTCCTTGTAACTGGTCCTTTTAGGGAGAAATATTTCAACCTTTAGCTTGGAAAAGATAATTGATGTTAATTATTCTTTTGTCTTACTTTGCAGAAATGATGAGGAAAAGCTTGCTTTCTCTGAGCTCTTAAAGCTATCCAGATTCTCACAGGTATATAAACTTATATACGGCCTTCAATCTTCACTCAATTTGCAGTGATATTCCTTCTTATTTTCTTTTTCGCTGTTCCCATCATCATGAAGAAGCATTGACTGTTTAGAACTTCTGGTGAAGATCATTAAATTTCCTCAATATCCAATTGAGAAGGAGTTCCCTGGCTCCTTTTCGCTTAGAATACTAGCAAAATGAAAAAGTCGAATTTTATTAAAGAAATATGCACCGTTTAGCTCCTTTAGTTCATGCTTCGTACACTAAACTTGTAATTCAGACATTTATTTTATTATTATCTGCACTTGTGTTCTTTTAATATAAATGCCATTAGGAGCACTAAATTAGAATCTGATATACAATTAGTTATTACGATGTAACTTTAATTGGACAGGTATATGTCAAAATCAGTGCACTATTCAGGGTGTCAAGAATGCCATTCCCATACCAGGATTTAGTTCCAATTCTCTCTGAAGTTGTCTCAAGCTTTGGAGCAAACCGTGTCATGTGGGGCAGGTAACTTTCAGTCTAGCATTGTCTTTTACTCTTCCAGGTTTCAACCAAAAGTTTGATTTTCCAAAGGAGACCAGAGTGGGGGTGAGTTTGCTGAAATAGGGTACGTATGACAACAGAGGAAAGGATAATGTTTTGAATATACTATTGCAGTGATTTCCCATTTGCAGTTCCCGAATGCGGTTATAAAGGAGCAAAAGAAGCAGTATCTCTTATTGCCAGTCAGGTACCTTTATCATCATCTGAGGTAGAATGGATCATGGGCAGAACACTTATGCAACTCTTTCAAGGTCAATGGCTTCCTTAGGCTAGTCTTTTAGTCAATGTATTTTTCTCATGTACACCCATCGTTTAACCGTACAGGTATTTGTTTAGGGCTACAATTTTAAGTCTATTGTATAAGTTGATGATTGAATCCAGTCCAGTAGTTTTACATTCATAACTGCTACTAGCTTTGGATCTCTGAGAAAACTATAGACTCATCTTTCATTGTGGAAACCAAAACAAGTCTATTCAGCCAGCCTGTTTGAAAACATTACTAAGCTCTCTCTACGAAATGTAATTTGAAACAAGGTTTTGAGAATGGATGCACAACACTTATTGAAGCCAGCTTTAAATTATACGTGCTTTCGTTGTAACATTTGTTAGTCTGTACAAATCTGTATCTTGTGATTGAGTCGCTGTACTCGTCCTAAACCAGGTACTCTGCACTCTCATTTTCACTAGAGTGAAAAAGAAAAAAAAATCAAAGAATTTTTATCACCCTATACAGCTACAGCTTACAAGGGAAGGGAAAATATCATACAGAAATTACAGAAGATACGATCTAATCATCTACACGTTGTATTTCACCCATCATAATGCGATTGCTTGTGACTTTAAAACCCAGAAGTGCAGGATCAATCTGCCTCCCTTTCTTCCCTTTCTTTTTGCCGCCCCTGCCCCCTTGGGTCCCATCTGAAGACTCTGGGCCCGCTGTTCCATGGACTTCTGGCATGGCATTCTTCTTTGCATTACTTTTCAACATGTCAATAAATGATGCCTCGGAGACATCACCATCACCGTAAGATGAGGTACGTCGGAAGCGCATCTCCTTCTTGGCCGATGCCGCAATGTCTGAATGGTTGGCTACATTTCCCCCAAAATCTCGCTTTCCTCCTGTGATTATCACAACATTAAAGGCATTACTTTTAAGCATGCAGAGAAAAAGGACAAATATGAACTGTTCCATAATGAACACAGATTCCAACAAGACAGTAGCCTTGAAAGGTGTTACAGGATGAAACAATTCACGCTCCTCAAAAGTGATTTTACTACTACCCATCTTTCCCCCAGTGTTTCTCACACAAAAAGTTTCCAAGAAAAATAAGGTATTGAGATGCTAGTATTTCCCTCATTGCTGCTTAAAGAATTTTTTCCCCTGCTACCTGGATTGGAGACAAGATCGGACAATCCTTCCTCAGATGATGAAGTACGAGAGACAGGTATATGTCTCAACAACATGTTGTCTTGAGCTTTCGCTGGGACTTGCACACTGTCAATAGGCCGAAATGAGCAAAGCGTCAGTATGATGTATTTGTCACAAAAGAAAAGACAACCTGCTACTGCAACAATGCATAAACTAGAGGGTCATCATTCCCATTGGCACCTGCAAGTTTCCAACAGGTTGATAGCAAAACTATAGCAGAATAAGAAAGACAATCTTTTAGCATTCAAAGTTGAGGTTATTTGGTAAGACAAACAAGAAAAAGAGGGAAAACAAAGTGGCTGAAATATGATGAAATAGTTGTTCCAAGCAAGGAGACTTAACTCCATTTTCTCCCAATTCAATAGTTTAATTACATAGCTGTGCAACCAGACAGTTATTGTGCGTCTCAAAAGCATGGTTATGCACCTCATTTCATCCAGGACAACCAGGCAAGACAGCAACAGGGTTGATAAGTTGGGGTAACCAGAAAACCCAAGATGCAGACTTTCTAAGTTTAGGTCTAAACTGAGTGCAAATGTAGGAAAAATGCATATTCATAACTCCTCCTTTCATGGCCATCCAGGCTTTAACATATAGCTCAATAGTATCGTGTTTACTAAAGCAGCATGAAAATTTAAAAAAGATAAAAACCGTTATTGAAATGAAACTAACCAGTCTTTGGCTATATCTTCTGAAAATAAATTGCATGATCCAATATTGTCATTGTAAAAGCCAGCATTTCCACCTACGAGAATTTCAAAATTAGACTCTTAAGTTAGATTTTCTTTTCTTTCCAAAAACGAGAGCACATATCAGATATATATAACACCAAATTTACCAGAAACACCAAGTGATGAATGTCTACTGAGAGCATTAATTGGAATCTCCCCTTTTTCTACAGAACTCAACCTTCCTGGCTTGGGGATGCCATCTTGACCCTCAAATATTGATCCCATTGTCAGCGCATCACTTTTAGATCCATAGTTTCTGCACTCAAGATCTGGCAACTCTTTGGCCGCAGTTAACAAACCAGTCACATTAGCACCTCTGTAAATTGCTTGAGTATTCTCACCAATGCGTGACAGGAAGGGCTGTCCCTCAGAAAATGCTCCAGATTCAGCCCTAAATGGCAGCCTTTCATTGCTTTCTAAACTGCCAGCCTGCTTATCAGCTAAAGTAATATGTGATGGTTCAGAGGAGCTTGAACCATAAGAACCTACCACAAATGACTTGTTTAGACCTGCCTCTTGCTCTGCTAGAACACCAAATGGGTGATCCAAAGAACTTGATCCTGTATAGACGCCAGATGGAGCCCTATCTAATGACTCGGGCTGATGGCCAGATTTCTGATGCAGCAATTCCATCAACAATTGCCTGGACTTGTCCTCATTGAGCCCATCAGACATCCATAAACCAGGATTCTCAGAAGTCATTTTGACTTCTGAATCCCTTTTCTGCCGTTCAGAATTGATACACAATTTCTGAATTTGAGATTCCATCCAGTCATTTCCCAGTTGTCCATTGCTCTCAGACCAGCGGCCCTCATTTGCATCCAATTGGGAAACATGACCCTGATTGGGGACTAAAGAGTGGTGCGGATTGTGGGGGTGGATGCCAGAAGAAAATGTTACAGCTTGACCAGTAGATTGTATATGTGTGCTTGGCTCCAACACATCTAAACCTTTCGCACGAGCCATAGCGTTTACTACATCCATATTAACCCCAGAAGCACCAGCAGGCAAAGACATTGATCGTTCAAATTGCAATGAGGAAGGCTCAAAACGCATTTGATTAAGCTGCTCCCTTAATGTAAGATTACGCTCTAGGTGACTTAGCTGCTCCTCATGGATAGGCCTTTGCTGTTGTTGATAAAAGTCTAAGGGGCTAAAGCCTGAAGAATGAACTTGGTTAATACCAGCATGGCTCCTGAGAAGCTGATTGGTCCGATCAGCTGGCCATATGGAGTCTAGATCCCTTTGTTCATTATGCTGTCTCAATCCCATTGAGAGCTGCCTCTGCAGCTGCTCTTTTTGAAGAAGCTGATGCTCCAAAGACTGCAATTGCCCATGCTGTGCCCGTGAAATTAATTCAAATAGGTCTCTTTGAGGCTCTTCTTGTGGTGCTTGACCAAATTTTGCTTGAACAAGCTGCTCTATCGATGGAACATGCCTTTGATGATTATGTGACTGATGTTGCAGCTCATGTATAAGCTGCTGCTCCAATAAAATCTGATCAAGAACATTTTTGGATATGATAGGATCCAAATATGACTGCCCAAGGCCAGGGTCAGGCACTTGACCATGCAACAGTTGCTCAAGAAGAACTTGTTGAACTTGGGACTGTTGTCGCTCCTGTAAAAGCTTTTGCTGCTGATGAAACTGTAGCTGTTGCTGCAATTGATACTGCTGGAGCTGAAGCTGCCGCTGTTGTTGCATCTCTAGAGCTAAAAGGTGTTCCATATCTGGCGCAGAATGGTTGGACAATTGCCGCTGGTGAACCAAATTCTGATTCTGACTTGGCACATGTTCCAAAACTGATTCATTAAGGCGTGCATGAGGAGACAACATATTCAGCTGTTGGAATTGCTGTTTCTGAGCTTGTTGAGACATAAGTCGCTCTGCTAAATCAAAATGGTTTGATTCTTGTTCCACATGCAACATATGGCGAGCAGCCAAAACATCTTGATACAAGTTATTGTCAGGAAGTACACTTTTCCTATAAACATCAGACCATGACTCTCCTCCAGCAACAGCTGGATCAGCCACAGGACCAAATGAAGCAGCCCTCCCAATGCCATTGGAAGACTGGTTGTTCCTTGATTGAGCACTGTCAAGCTCAGACCACAATAAGCCAAAATGATGCAACTTACTATTATTTTGATTTGACATAGAAGTTTCTGTTAACTCATTGGGAAGATACAGGTGGCTACTAGAATTTGCCAAAGGATCGTGAACATGGCCAGAAGATTTTGCAACAGGATAGCCAGAATTATCTGATCTTCCTGGGAATACAATTTCTGGAAAGAAACATTTAATCATCAGCATAGAATATACAGAAGAACTGAACTATCAGGTAATAGAGTTCAAACACACTGAATAAGTATAAATAAACAGACCTTCATCTTGTGCAACAAAATCTTCAAAATTTTGACCCTCAGAACGTGGCATTTGCAGTGGAGCCTCAGGCTCAGATATTCTTGACTGAACATGCTGAGATGAGAGGCTGTTGAACTCAGACACTGAGTGGTGCAGGTCATTTTCTATGGATGAAGCTGGAATGTTGCTGACTGGAGCAGAAGCAGGTAAACTAGCCTCCAAATTTACTCCAAAAGCCCCTGACTCTTCTAGTTTATTCAAATCAATAACACTGCCATGTCCATCTTTGGCTTTCAGATGTGGCATGATATCACCCAATTCCTGAAAAGGTGTTCCTTCAGGAGAATCTGCCAGACGTACTGGCAAGTCAAGCCCAAAGAAACCTTGTTCAAACCACATTATGATGTCAGCCCCAAGGAACGGACCCTGTGTATTCCCCTGAGGATCAATGTAAAACAAAGTAAACTCCTCAAGTGAAGTTCCCCCTCCCGCGTTCTTTGCCTCACTGTTACTCTCCATTAGCTGCCCATCACTACTCTGAGTTTGCTGGAAGGCCACATGAAACAAAGAACTTGAATCACCAGGAAGATTCAATTTGATGTCAGAAGAAGGGGTTGACTCATTGCCTTCAAATTGAGGATGACCAGAAGCAGCAAAGTCCATCTGCCAATTTTCACTAATGTTATGGTGAGTAGAACCAACCTCCATTGCACTGCAAATGCCATTAGTTTTAGGGACTGTTGGTACAAATCCATCTGAATTTGATGGAAGAGAGATGGAAGAAATTTTATCCACTTCTTCATGAGTGACTCCTTTTCCTGAAACAAAATACATTCAGTTTCCTTCCTGCATCTAAATGGTTGCAGTACCATATTTCCAATTATCTTTCCCTTTCCAGGTAATAGACAAATTATTGCTTACCAGCTACCACATGAGCTCGATGTGCATCAGTACTTGCAGCTTCTTGCAAGTTATCAACAGTTGCTCCACTGAGTTTTTGGCTGAGGATACCCTGTTTATCCTCAGAGGATTCTACATCTCCAACTTCTAGCCAAGTAAATGAAAGAGTCAGATATACCATCAAGCATACAAGAACTGAGGTAAGATCAAAGTATAAAGTTGTACCTGACACATTTTCATTTGACCTCCCCTGTCTACAGGAACTGTACACTACACCACTGCTGGTGACCTTACCCTTCCATATATCACTAAGGCTAACCTGTTAGTGTTACAAAAACAATCTAATCAATTACCAGAGAAAGGAAAGAATTAAAAGTAACAAATCACTATATGACAGGTAAACTAATCACAAAAAAAAATTGTTACCTCCTCTTCAGTATCAGGGGCAACAAAAGCCAATGGTTCAACAAAGCCCACTTGAGTTAAAGGAGGTGATTCTTCCTTCCCATCAGGCATGGCAGCAAAAGATGGATCAAGCTTTTGTATGCGATAAATGTCAAGCAGCTTCCCTCTAGGATAGCGAAAAGTATCAGCTAAAAGGTTTGGTTTTCCAGGGACAGTTTCACTTCTAAATAAGTAAACGGCACCGATGGTGCTTGCAGATGAAGACCTTCCAATACCAGCTGACCTTCCCCGTCCAATGGTAAAACCAGGATTATGACTCTCCACCCGTCCTTTCTCAGGTCCAAATCCAGGAGCACCACGAGCGGAAGTTGATCCACTTGAATGCACCTCCATTCTATGGCGTGGCCTCCATTTATCACGAGAATCTGTGTCACGCTCAGAAACTGAACGGTTACTCACAACAAATGACTGATTGTCATTGTGAGTATCTTCCTTCTCCTTTTCAGCATCTGTCCTCTTCTCAGAGCGGGATTCCTTCTCTTTATCTTCAGGACCCCACCTAGACGACCATTTGCTATCACGGCGAGATTCATGCCCAGGATTGCGGCTGTTACCATCATGCCACCGATCAGAGGATGGCAAAGATCTACTTTCAGTTGTTTCCCTCATTGAAGCAGTGTCAACACGACGCTCTCCTTTCCTGCGATCTCTCCTACCACTGAGTAAGCCAGTTTCTCTTTCCTCTTCACGCCAGCGGCGGCTGCTTTCACTCTCAGTTACAATCCTCCTCCAATCTTTTTTTTCCTCAGATCCATCCAAGCGCCAGCCCTCCTTCTGGTTGGGATCACTGGAGTTTCCAGTCGACATAGAAGTTGGAGCACGTGTATCCTGTGATACATGTCAAAACAATGAGGGAAGCATGCAAAGCAGTATAACATTTGGCAAAGGGAATCCGGCATCCTCCAAGTGGCTTTTTTTATAAAAATACAAACACTACTTCTCACATTTTGGGAAATTGTCCATTTTAAATAACTAATGAAAGATAATATTTAAACTTTCCAGCATTACTCTCATCAACATTTCAAGTTTCAAATAGTGAAGCCAAAGGCAATCAAAGTACCTCAATGCAGCACGTTTTAAGAAATACTAGTATAATAACAAGTGAACACATGGATTCATGTTCCCTACAGAAGTTGCAAGTCCCGAGTGGCCAGGATGGTAAACAATATTTGATGCAGAGGAGTATATCAAGGGTCAATTGCATATACTATTACAAATCCCTAAAAATATTCATGTATTACTCTCTCACCCAAGTTTGGGTCGAACTTGTGAGCAGGAAAAGCAATCAAGCTCCATGATAACATCTAACCTGCAACAGAAACGCTGAGGGGAAAACTAAAAGTTTATACTAAAATGACTGAATCACCATCAGAAGCAAATGTATAGCCCTATGGGTCACTCCGAACTCTTAGTTTAAAGCTACTCTTATGGTCCAAGTCTTATTAATAAAAGTAGCAACCTAGTAAGACCTGATGTGTAGGAGAGTATCCCAGGTATATGTAGGATCTTAGGGCCAGGCATATGCATATGTACAAGGTACAATGTATGTTGCTTTTGTTTCTGCATCATAATATCAAGAAAGAAGCTTTAACAACTTGAGCAATGCAAAAGCATGATTTGTTTAAACAGCAGAGGAGGTAAATTAATTAAAGAGAAGATAAAGTTGAAGCTCCGACATGACCGGACACCAACATTGTTTCCACCAATGAGTTCATTAAGCAAATTTACAATTGCGAATTTTCCTAAAAGAACTATAGAATAAGTGTATGAAACTTCTAAAACCTAAAATAAAACCAACATGCAACACGCAGATTAAGGAGTATGAAACTTCTAAAAACTAAGATAAAACCAACAAGCAACAAGCAGATTAAGGAGCAAGAAGGAGCATCATAGCAAATCTGATAAACATGTCAATCTTATAAATACAAAAATAAAAACTCAGAAAACCTATATACCATCTTTGTCTCGGTGGGTTTAGCATAGAGCCATTGTGGAGATAAAGGTATGCTGCTCTCTGATGCCAGTTGATCTGCAGCAAACAATTAAATCAAATCAAGTGTTACTTAAAAACAAGCAATATCCCCGAGAAAAGAAAATGATAGAAACAAGCAACATGGTTACGACCAAGTTACTCCTTATTTGACAACAAAACCACTGCAAGATCAACGGACATAAAGCTACCTTTCGAATCATCAACTTTTTCCTCATTTCCTCCCAAAGCTTCCACTGCCATAAGATGTGCAAAAGTGAAAAGAGAATAAGAGAATGTTAAATTTCTACAAGTAAAATCCAGTTGACACAAAGTAAGCCAACCAACAAGAGAAACCTCTAACACACACTCTTTCTCCCCCAACAGAGACCACAAAATGCAAACAATCAAAGGTCAAGAAAATATTAATTGTGGTTCAGAAATTAAGATCTCCTAGCAACTAATAATATACTCTTGACTTGTAAAATTGAGCAACAACGCTATAACTTCAATAATTTCTCAACAAAGACACTAGATGAATTGCTGTTCTATAGAAGGAACAACTGTATTAGCTAATCCACTCCAAAATGGAAACCAATACATTTTAAACCTGATGCCATGTGGGCTTTTAGCAAAGGGGGTTAAGGAGTGGAAGTTCGAGTAGAAAACCTAAATTAAGCTGTAGCTCATCTCTAGTAGTTTCAAGAAACCTACATATCAAGATGTGCTGCAAAACAACCTAAAACCACGAAACAAAACCAAAGCCATTTGCTCAGGACGGAAATAAAGTCCATTCATTATGAAATTGGGAGGAATGAACTTACCAATAACAAAAAATTCCACAAAAAAAAAAAAAACCAGATCCTTCTGGAAACCACAAAGCACAATAACAAACGAAACCAAAATACAGATAAAAACCTAATATCAAGAATATATTTCAGTAAAATAAACAATAAGAACATAATTAACAACTAAAAATCTATTAAATTAAAAAACTGAAGCATTAATTACTATTATTCCAAGACAATCAAACAGAGTATAAACCAAAGTGAATTAAAAAAAAAACGAGTCCGACTATCGAATGCATCGCGTAAGAGAGAGAAAGAGATAAAACAAGAGCTGAAGAAGTTTAAAACCCTAAAAAAAATAAAGTTCGAATCCAATAGCACAAATTAAAGTCGTACGACTACTCGGATACGCTTCAGTTCAGATCGATAAAATCCGTAAATCTCACATTTGCTCTAATGTCAATAAAAATCGATCGAATAGAGGAGAGAAAAACCGTATGGGAAATTAATGGAAAGTAATGAATAAGAGAGGAAGCACCTTTGGAGGTCCAGGAGCGATCAGACGACTTAGATGAAAGGAGATCGTCCGGTAGATCGAGCTTGCCGTCAGCCATCAGACGGTCGAGACGTCGTAAATACAGAGAAAGAGTGTTATAGAAGACAGTGAAGATCAGAAGAGAGAGTAAACGGAGAGTGATTGTACAAAGCTGAGAAAGCCGGAGAAATATGGAGAGAGAGAGAGAGAGAGAGAGAGATGGAGATGCTTTGGAAGATTGGGAGTTTCGGAGATCGTAGGACTTCGAAAGAAGGTAATTTGTCGAGAGAGAGAGAGAGAGAGAGAGAGAGAGAGAGGGCTGTGTCTTGCCTGAGTGTATGAAAGATTGAGAGAGGAAGAAAAGGGTAAGGAGGGTTTGGGTGGTCAGAACAGGCGAAATCTGCTAATCAAGTAAGGCGATACAGGTTGCCTCTTTAAATTAAAAAAAAAAAAAACTTAACAAAGAACCCTCAAAAATAAATTGGAAATAGCATAAAATAGTGTCTTTCTTACATATATAAATATATATATTATGTATATTATATATATGTTTGAACCCTTTTGCATTTTAAAAAGGTCCGATGGCTTTTTCATTTTTCATGTTGGTCTGTCATTGCCTAAACGACTCTAATTTTATGTGCCAAAATCACACTTACCATTTAAATTAAATATTCCAACCTTTGTTGCGGTGAAAATCCTGTTCGCCTCTTCTTTTTTTTTTGAGCATTTTACGTTCCTCCCAATTATGGCCATATGTTAACTACCTACTACAACTTGCCCTCTGACAGATCCATAGGGAAATAGGAATTGAACAACCATCCCACTTTCACATTCACTTAAAGAGTTTGTCAAACCTTGTAGCTAATAAGCTAAAAAGTCAGTAACGCTTTCTTTTTTCTAGAGAGCACATGCCAAAATATTTATCCTGTTTTTTTATCCTCACTGAGAAAATAAACTATAATTTAATTTTTAAAATTATTAAAGTATTAATATAAAAAATGTATTTAATTATTTCCAATAATCTCACTTAAATGTCCCATTGGGCTGAGGTGGAGCCCCGACGTTGAGTATTCAAGATTTCAGGTGGACTTTTATTTAGCTTGACTGGACCCTAACCATGCATTCTTTGGGTACAAGTATGCGCCATTAGCAACATATTCAAAGACCTTTGGAAATCACGAATCAATAGGCACAAACTTGATACTACAGCAACCGAGAATTGAACACTCGAGGACAAAAAAAAATCTTGTAGCAAGGAATGAAACAACTACTTCCACGTAAGCCCAGCATTACAATTTGGCTGGGACATGGGAGAAGCTTTCAAAATTTTGTTTGAATAATTCCCTACAAATAAGATTCTCAACCAGTTTATACACAACAACTGAGACAAGAGAACCCTATACCTACATTCAGGACGAAATTAGTTGATTTTTGTTGAGAGGTCAAAAATAGAGAAATAAAGATTAGAAATTTTACAAATTAATATATTAAATTTAATTAATAATAAAAGATTGATAATAAAAAATAATTTTATATAATATGTAAATTAATAAAAAAATATTTATAATAGTCTTTTAAAAAAATTGTGCTTGATTATATTTTTTAAATTCAAATTTATCAATTAAAAATTATGTATTGAAAAACATCGATTTCTTTAAGATGAAGTGTTAGATATTTTGATTCACATTGCTTTTATCCATGAGTTAAAGCATTAAGGTTTGATGATTCAAGGTAAGAGAATCATTTAGACGATTTGCATCTTTTTTTATTAAGATTTTGTCAATTATTTTTAACCTTCTTATATTTTAATCAAACTTGACAAAAACATTAATGCATTTAATATCTACTATTTTTATTTTATTTCTATTTAAACTTATAATACTAAATAAAAACTATAACGTATAAAATATAAATAGTTAAATACGATATATAAGATTAATAATTTCTTCTTATATAATTAAGATTGTTTAAAGACTATATATTCAATATAAAATGTAAAGCATATAAAAAAAAGATATACTCAAGATAATTTCCTCTTATATAATCAAGATTAATTAAAAAATGATATATTGATAAAATTTTAAGTAACAATGCAATACTACAATTTATAATTAAGAATTACATAATAATTTATTAATTTTAAAGATTAAAATCATGAAAAATAAAATCCACATAATAAAAAAAAAAGAAAAACATGATGAGTAGGAGATGAAATCCAAATATGACATATAGAAAAAGAAAAAAAATATGATTGATGGTTCATAGAAATTTAGAAAAGTAAATCTATAAAAATTTAAAACATATTAACAAATGGTATAAAAAATATAAATAAGAATAATAATATAAATTGAAAATAAAACACTTTAAAACTGAGTGAGACATGTGAAAATTTTTTGTTATTCTTTATTTATATTAATTATTAAATAAAAAAATATTTTGAAAGGCCCATTAAAAAGATCTCTTAAAAATTTTATATAATATAAAAAGATTTTAAAATTTTTGAAGGGCCATTTAGGCTCAGCCCTTGCCTTTGTTATGAAATTTTTGAGAAGCTAATCAATTTCTTGTGTTAAACCTTGTTTTTTTTAAAAAAAGAAAAATGCTCATATCATTATAAGATAATAATTCGTCAAATTTTAGTGTAATTGAGTTAATTGCATGTGATCCAGATATGCAAGTTTACCCTTGGATCTCAATCACAACTTAAAGAGATAAGAAGAAACAGGGGCAAGACAAGGAAATGAAGTGAACTTGAGTCCTACCACAACGAAACGATGTGCTGCAGTGAAATGATGCAAAGGTTCTGGACAAACAACATAGAGATTTTATGTTACCTGTAGGGTTTTCAATAAGATCCACGAACATCAAATCTGCTGTACTAAATTTTCTTGTGCATGGAATCAGTATAATCAGAACACACCAGAATAACTTTAGAGACACATCTCAATCAGCAGAAGAGATAAAAGTGCCCAGAATAAACAATAGGGAGAGACAGTTGCAAGCAATTAAGATTCGATACCAAATGTCTTCCAGCTTACTAGTAATCACTGGAAAAGACAGCTCCTTAGCGACTGATTACAAAGATGATGTTGAAACTACATGCCCAGACTCCTAAATTTAAAAAACATAAAACGAATAAGAGAGGATGAAAAAATGTGAAAACAATGGAAGTGAACCAACTTCTGCAGAGAGTTTTGAGGCACAAGCAAAGGCAACAGACAACAGTTTATATGTCAGTATCATGCTGGGTCTGCAAGTGTATTATGCTTTCTGCTTCGAGAGGCAGAGAAACCTTGACTCATAAAATGACACCGGAGATAGAAGCAAACCCTGTTCACTCCTATTTCTCAACCAGCCTTAATACAAACGGACACGAATAATTACCATCCTCCTACTTGAGGACCGTCAGAAGTCTCCTTCGGCCCCATTTACATCCTTTCTTTTTTCTTTTTCTCTCTCAGAAACCTTAATTTATTTCTCCTTTTTCCTAATAATAGTTAGTGGTTTTAAAATGTTAAGTATATATATATATATATATATATATATATTGTTTTGAAATTTGGAAAAAATTCAAACTCTGTTTAGATCAATAAGTCAAATGTGTGAGGTTAAGTATTGATAGCGAATTATAACATAAATTTGGGACAAATAATCTGATCTTAGCTTGCATTCTATAGGCTAATTAAGGAGAAATTGTTTCAAGACCAGATTAACAACATTAATTCAACTTGCTTTAATGGACAAAAATATATGAACATTCATTCAACTTGCTTCAAACTAACACAATAAAAAAGCATGATATTCCAACAGAAAAAGAAAAAGGAATAAACAACACATAAAAATACAAAACCGAAACAATTTCTACAACCAATCAAAAGTAAAAGTCCAACTCTCTCTTCCCACATTTCTTCACATTGGGCGACTTCTCGACCCAATCAACAGAGCCGGCAACACTTGTCTTCTTTCTCCTCAACTTCTGACACAAGAATGCCTTCTCCAGCTGCTCCACCCTTTGAGACAATGCACTCAACAACCGCGTCTGTATTTCATTCCTCTCGAACAACTCTGCCATCAACCGCATCATCTTCTCATTATCCTCCATCATCCTCTCTAACAACTCCTTGCTACGTTTATTCTCCCCACAATCCTCCTTACTACTATTATTCCCTGCCTTCCCATCATCGGCCAGACGAGTTTCATTTTCATCCAATGCAGATTCCTCTTCTTCATCTACGCTCTCAGGATTTGCAGACGAATCGGTTTGACTCTCAGTCCGACCTGTCTCCATACTCTCCTCATCCTCCTGATTTGCAACAATTTCTTTGCTTGATTCAACAGTTTTCCCATTTTGCGGAATCACTTCGGATTCACTTAAATTAGGCACAAATTCAGCCTTGTTAGTTATTTCATCATGCTTTTGCAACTCTGGGGTTTGATTGCAATTGTCAGCAGAATCGGTGATTCCTTGATTTTGATCAACGGTTTCAGTTTCAGCAACTGCAATGGCATTGTTGGAATCTAGGGATTGATCAGCGGAAACAATGGCGTCAACCAGTTCTTGTAAAGCAATCGCCTTCTTAATAACGGATTTCCTGCAATCCCTAACTCCAGAGTCCACCCCTCCAACCGAATCCAACTTAAAAAGCAAGCTCATCAACATCTCGTTAATTTTCAATCTCTCCTTTGCATCATTTCGAATCAAATCAACGGTTTCTTTCCTCGAAACCCTGTGCTCGATGTCGTTCACTTCCTCCCTGATTGCCTTGATCTTCTTAATGTTTTTTCTCCCTAGGAATCCTCTGAATACCTTCTGGATCCTGATAGCAGAGTCGGATCTACCCCGCTGCGACCCGACGAAGTGGACGGGGACCGACACCACCTTGGGCTTCATAGGCTGCGGTGGCGGTGTGGATTGGGGCTGGACCTGGACCGGAATACCTCTCAAGCTCTGCTCATAGCGAGGACGAGACGAGGTATTGAAGCGATTTCCGAAAAAAGGAAAGTCCATTCGTCGCTTTTGGATGGAATTTACAGAAAATTTCTTGAAATCGTTTTTCTTTGTGATGGAAATAAATTTGAAGGATTTCCTTTGGCTTTGTTGTTGGTAAAGAGAGGAAATGGAATGAGGTATTTATATGGGCACTTGGAAATCCTAGACTACAGGTTCGAGAAGGAGAGATGTGCATTCTGGAAGCTGCCAGAAGTCTCCGGTGACCTTAGTTTTTTTGGTAGTAGAGTTTTTGGGTTCTTCTGGATAACTGTGGATTCTTCTCTTTGCCCGCGTGTTTGTTAAATGAGATACAATGGAGCGTCGCTGCATTGTCATGATGCTTATATCAGCCCACGTTTGACGTGTTACTGCCCTTCTAATTTCATGCGCTGCACGGCCTCCTATTTTACCTTTTCTGGACTTGTTCTTCGAAAATTTTTTATTAAAATTA